GTAAATGTTATAGTTAAAAATACACAGAAATAGAATGATTTTGAGCTTTCATTTACAAAATTAGGCTAATCCTCATAAATCTGCTACCATGACCACATCTTAATTTGGAATTAACTTATTCCAACCCAACCCCAAATGAGCAGTTTGCAGGACTGGGTTTCAGTCACATGCCAAAATCATCTATTTACCATCCTGCAAACAACAGGCAGAGATTACTACTTTAACAGTTATAATGAAGAGGAAATAACAAAACTGCTTTCCAATACAGTCAGGAACATAAACCATTTGAAAGATCCTCCTTTTATGAAAAACTAGTAAAAATATGTGTGTATTGTCTGGGACATTGTAAACTACACAAAGTGCACTAAAATCCAAAAAGGGAAAAATATATAAAATAAATCAGTAAAACATAAAAGCTTTTCAGTGACAAATTAAGCATTTAAAATCTATAAATATCATTACATGATTTATAAGAATGACTTATATGTAATCACAATACGGATGAATCAAAGCTTTCTCATAAGAAAGTCTTATTTGTGCTTTTAGGATTGAAAATATCTTCACATCGGTACATAAAAGTCACATTTACATATCAGAATCACACCATCAAGAGATAATGTTAAGAAAGGCAGAAAACTGTCATGTTCAAATTCTTGCTACAGAGGCAATTTTCAAGTACCAGCTCTTTAACAGCACGTTCAATCATGAAATAATTATACAGGTATTAAAATGCACCTGCAATCCTGAAGCCTTACAATTCAGCCTACCTTGAAAGAGGAATGGTCATTGTTTAACACTGGTTTCTGTTTAAGAACAAAAACAAAGCAGAGAATATAGTCAATACCCACTCCTATCCTGCAAGCCAGGTGGAATTTAAGTGGCAGTTTGTTGTTCTGTTTAAGAGACAGCATTTGAAAATTGGGGCTAGTCACAAAAGAAACACAATCAAGCAAAACAAAACAAAAAGGAGGAGGGAAGGAAAATTGCAACCTTCTGTCTGACACTTACACTTCACACGGAGGGGAAAAAACAAGCAAACTATGATGAATTATCTAAAAACATTTATTTTTCATTATGTACGAAGTTAATTAACATGATTATATAAACATCTGAAGGAAAAAAAGAGGAAATAGTAGCAAAGGGAGTTTTGAGATGAGGGAGATAAGACCTTCATCTCCCTGGCTCCTGAAAAAGAGAGAGAACACATTAAAAGTGGTGAAAAGTCTTCTATTGACCTAACTGTACCATGTTGGGGAAAACATGCAATTTTTATTGTTCCTAGAGCACTTATGACTTTGAATATCTGAGTATAACCAGTGACACTCACATATGCCAATGCATTTCATTCATCTGGCTCCAAATGCTACAAAATCACGTTTCCCTTAACACTTACAATTCCTTTTCCAACTTCTTTCATACCATTGTCTTGTTTGGCTGGTAGAGAAAGGCCTTTGAAAACCTTTTTAATTACTGCCCTGTAGTAAAGAAAAACAAGTATCATGAAAGGGCACTTCATACTGGAGAATAATCTGCTAATCTCACAATAATGCTAGCAGGTAGGTGAGGAGAATACTCACACAGAGCCTCAGCTAAATTCTGCTCAGGATTCCCAATGTTTTCTCAATGTCAGTTAATGCTGTTGTTTAAAACCAGTCCATCCCAGCTACGTGTCTTTTTTTTATTGTTTTTTTTTTTTCCTCTCTCTAGTGGAAACTTAGAGCTAACATTTTTCTCCTTGAAACGTGTATATTTTTTCAGTACGTCTCTGTTTGAATGTGTTTTAAAAGCACATATGCCATAGGCATGACTCAAATCCTATACTCCTTTATACTGGTCAGAGTTATAAAACCTGTAAATTGCTACATCAACACAAATAGGGGGCCTGTATTTTGTCACACATAATCGAAACTCCTCCCAAAGTCACCGCTTCACGTTCATGCAAATGACAACCTGATGACAACCTTTATCTAAGTACTACATTGCTATTAGAATTTCAAATATGTAATGCAAATCAGTTACTTACAAGGACACCCTTCAAGAATTCTTCTTCAAGCCTGATGCCTTTTGCTCTCATCTTCTAAAATACAGTGTCTGGTGCAGATCAGAAAACCTTCTTCCTACATGCAAGCACTGCTGGCACTGGCAACTATCAAAGGAGTCGCAGTTGTGCATGCTGCAAGAGTCGCTCTGATGGCATTTCCATTGTTTCCTGCAGACAAATCTCCATCATCAACTCCACCATATTGAAATACAAAAATGCTTTTTGAACCCAGATGTCTCTGCGAGTGGTTTCTTCAAGTATAAGGCAACACTTTAAGCTAAAGTGCTGTTTGGCATTCATTTATATGTATTTGCTCTGCAACTGCATTGTTTCAGATGCCATTACAAAACGTCACCTTTGAAACAATGGACAACAGAAATGGGATGAAGTGTGAATGCTTACTGGAGACAGAGCTAATAATATTTCTTTTGAATGCCATCAACTGATATTTTTCTTTTTAAACTGCTGCTAAAACTGGATGTCAGATAACAATATTCTGTGTTGATGATTTCACAGATACTTTGCATCACAGAGGTAGCACTAACACCCCAACTATTCAAAGGAAGGGGAAAATCTTACATCTGTATTTGATACTTTTATCCACATGAAAAAATGAAGGTAAGTATCAACACAAATACAGGGATCGTTTTACTTTGAATATCAACCCAAACTTAAAAAAGAACAAAACCAAACCAAACAAACAAACAAATAAACAAAAAAACCCACCCACAGCTCAGAACTGATATTTCGCTTAACTTCTTCAAAGGCCTGAATAAATATTTACCTTGGCTTTTTTCTTTTTTTTTAAGTCTTTTATCTAGACATCTACAAATCTTAGTTTATGGATCTCTTAAGTTATCCATCCACACAAAATTATCCATAAACAAGTAAAATAAAAACTGAAGGAAAAACTCTTCAAACACAGGATTTTCACAAGCCAAATAAACATCAAATGACTGGAGTTAAAACTATTATTTTAAAATATTATTTTTTAAACTCTAATGATAGCTACTTTCTATAATGATGAGAAGAATCATGACTAAAACAAATGCATCAGGATTTTCATGCATTTCATGTCTTATTTTGTAAGAGTATTTTCATATCCTCATTTTCATTTGCTGCATGAATAATTTGATATTCTTCAATGTTAATCTGATAACTACACATTACCTAGAATTCTATTTTAGGTGCTGTCTCAGAAAAAAAATTGCTGTAACAACTAATAGTTAGTGTTTATGTGCCGCTACAACTCACTCATTCTTGAAAACCTGCAAGTCACAAAACAAAACAAAGGAAAAGGCCTCTACCCACAACCCCAACCCCCCACAAATGCCAAAAAGGAGATTTATGATTAAAAACACATCCCCTCCAAAGATGCATCCTGAAGTTGGATGCTCTCCCTCCGATATAAGCAACTGTAGCAACCGGAAAAGGTCAGTGGAATAGATGAAGTAGAGTCTACATTTTAGTTATTTGTGCTATGAAACTACAGTGTGACCTAAAGATTTTACTGCCTAGTTGTACTATTTAGACACAAATATGCCTTCTAACCTGAACAGAATAGTGCTAGCCTTCTCCCATGCCATCTCCTCCCTTCTCCCATCCTCCCACCCAGGTAGACCTTGCTCCCCAAACAACCACCACCAGAGTCAATCCAACAAAACGGCAAAACCCGTGTTTTCCTCATAATGTCTATCTCACCTATAACCCAGAAAACTCTCTTTCTGGTTAACAGAAAACTCCACGGTAACAACGCAAACACTTCTGATATGCTGCCAAAACATATTTTTTGGAAGAATGCAGGAAGCAGTGGGGTTTACACTCTGTCATAGTCTCCAAACGGGGAGAAAATATCACTAGCTGGAACCTCTGTCAGTGACCTGAAACGAGGTCAGGAAAGAACAGAAAAATAAAGAGGAGAAAATAACTCATCTGTCCTGATTTACGCTAAAAAATGCAACCCAGAAGTTCACTGCAGAGAGGAGCCATTGCCTACAGCCTGGCTTCTCCATCAGTGACCCTCAACTTCTGTTAGAGGCCGCAAACCACCCTGGGGGATGTCACCGAGGGCCCGGTGGGGTTTGAGCATCTTCCTGGGGCTCAATGACACCATGAGAACGGGTGCAGAGACACAGGCCCTGCTCAAGAGAGCTTACAGTCTAGGAAAGCAAAAGGACATACAAGAGTATGGAGAAAATACAGCTAAACACAAACAAAATTTGCATACATATATACAGTTACAGTCATAAAAAGCTACTGAAACAGTATTTCTACCTGTCCCTCCACCTAGCCATCATTACTTAGATGATAACTTAATAGGGATCACAAGGGAGGTGGGTCTTAAGGACAGATTTCGAGGGGAAGGTAGCGGCCTTATGAATCAGTCCAGGGAGGGCTTTCCATGCATACGGGACAGTGTGGAAGGTGTTATATCGAAAACTTAAAATTGTGCAGAGCAGCATTTCTCCAGGGTCAAAATTCAAGGTGTGGTGTGCAAGACCCCTATTTCCTGAGACAGACACAGTGTGGTTATGTGAGTAACGTCTGGCCATTAGGAAGACAAGGGAATCACTAACGTAGGACTACACTGAGGCTATGTCGCTTGCCACAAGAGTCTCTGTGGCCACCGGTTAGCACAGTAACTGCAGGGAGATGATATGGAAGGGTTTTCAAGAGAGTCGGGTACAAAGAAGGAGAAAAGGGCAAGATGAAGGAAAGGAGACAAAAGGAAGAAATGAGGGGGGAAGGGGGCAGTATTTTTGAATGTAGTCTTCTGCTTTAGTTCTTAGTGTGTTTGCACTTTTTAACTAAATAACTAAAAAACATATACAATAACTAATGTACATTTGACACCATAAAATAAACTGGACCATATGTCAACATTTACAATTATGTTATTATCCTTCACTATGGAAAGGTGAGAAACAGGTTAAACAAGAGACAAAATGCTTCCCCTTACCCTTCTTCTTCCGTACTGAAGCTTGGAAATAGAAAGGGAATGAACTGTGAATCAATTCTGAAGGTCATTTTTTAATGCTAAATCCTTGTCTGTTACTTTGAACATAAACATTTTTTTTTTCCATCTCTAAGAAGTCAGTCTCTCCCTGCTACTCTGTCCTATGCAAGTATCTATCACTGCAGATAAACAGCTTGGCATAAGCCCAGTTTACCGGGATTTATACCTCGAATCTAAGAGATTGCTCCGCTACAGATATGAGGCACACAAACAATTTATTTCTAAATTCTTTTTAAAATGTAGTAATTTGGGCAACTTACTGATGCTAAGGATTACAATAGTAGGGCAATTTCATGTCTTTGTGGACCATAGGAGAAAGGAATTGTTAACACATTATCTGCCATATTTCGTGTTAACTCGTTTGAAAGAGAACAACTAAGATGGTCTGATATAATACTGAGAACAGAGTAGCTAAAAATCTGTCAATAAAACCTCAAAGACATCTTAAAGCCAGGCAAAAGAAGTGACTGGAAAGACTGCAAGAGCTATAAATTAAAAAGAAAAAAAAAAATTATTTATCTTAGCTAGGAGAAATGGCAAAATATACTCTAACAGAAAGCAAATAGGGAATTTCTATTTATCTTTTTTCTTATCTAAATAACAAGGGACATTTAATAAAATTAAGAAGCATCACACTTAGAACCAATAAAAAGGAAATACATTTGTACACAGCACATGATTAGCCTGTGGTATTCTTTGCCACGAGACATTATTGAGACTATGAACTTCTTCAAGTCAGAAAAGATTACACATATATCAATGAGAACATCCACAGTGTTCATCTACACACACCTCCTATTTATTTTATACAAATATGTTATGAAAAAATGCATTTTCATTAAATAAATGAGTTTGGTATAAAAATGTGGGTGTTCTCATAGTTTATACAGATGTCCAATATATACACATATACATATATAGATATATAAATTGTATGTATATATATGCGCACACACACACAATTTGTATTTTATGTCAAAAGACAACTTTTAACTTATGATAGTGAGAAAATCTTCTCTTTGAGGGCTCGTTCAACTGTTTATTCTTTTACTAGTCTCTTTATATGATGAAGATTAAAATAGGAAGACTACAGATTTTATTTATAACAGTAGTCATATTGTTTGCTAGGGTGGCAAATGTTCAGAATATCTTGGTGTCTAGAGGCCAGTTTAAGAAGAAGAAAAATCTCTGTTATGTCATGTATTATTATGGCTTTATTAGAGAACAAATACTCCTGGAGCAGGCTCCAGTACTGTTCTTCAGCTCAGCAAAGGTTCTGCCATCATAACATTTGCCCTGGCTGGATGAACATGTTCAAGGATTCAAGGACATCCTAAGGGTGTTAGTCACAAAAGCTGCAATGGATCCTGAGACCCGATGAGAACAGGACCAGGTACTACTCAATGAACAAGGGGGAAGAGTAAGCCAAACTATGATGCTCTTCATTGCAGAGGTCGCTTTTCCCTGGAAAAGTGTGTTGTTCCTCTCTGTTTTAAAAATGGTATCTACTATGTAAGATTAAAAAGTGAGAGAAACACAAGAATATCCTCAGGGACTTGCAGAAGGGAATAATGAAATGGAAAAAAATGGTGCCCTGGGTCCTTTAAGATTGCTTGTTGATAAATCATCAAGACTCTTAACACTCCCTTAAATGAAAGCAAAACTAAACCCCCCACACCAAAATATGGGACATGGGAGAAAATTCTATATTTTAATCCTGGAAGAAAAATAAGGAGCATTCACAAACTGTAGAAACCATTAGTCAAGCTCCAAAATGTCATGGCACAAAATAATCAAATTTTATGAGACCTGTTAGATCTAAATAAATAGAATGTCTCATTTTGGACTTCCTATGGTTATTAGCCTATACAAAAGACAGTGACCAGTTCAGCAGCCATTTCTCAGTCAGAACTCCCACTGCAGCTACGGGAGTTTTGACTCTTTAAAGGATGGATGGGGATCCATCTGCCCCAGAAAACATTGATGTCTAAGGGGAAAACGTGGACATTTCTCCACAAAGCTGTGATTTCTTCCAGTTAGCCTTCATATGAGTCTAGGTCAAAAATAAAAATGATTACATAGTATTTCAATCAACATAGGATTACAGTGGTGGGAAAAAGAGCTTTGCTGTCTGATAGGTTTTATTATTCTGCAGTGAAGGATGCATTTTGTTTTAATACCCAATATCACTTATAAAATACACTATTTTAGTTCAATAGCCATATACAAGTATGCATTGACTTTCTGTCTTTTCATATAGGGTCCCATTCATAACAAATTTATTAGCCTACCTGAAGAAAAAAATGTTTTTTAATTACCCAACAGATTAAACAACCAAATGAAAGACTTACGACTTCCTTTGCTTCTACAAAGTAAATCAAAACTCCTGAGGAATTATAGTTATCTAGAATGCAGATGATCACACAAAGAATCTATGATCACATTTCTTAAAACTAGCAAAAAAAGACTGACTGCTCAATACTATTTTATTACCAATAGATAGAAGAATTGTGTTTATATCATGCACAGAAGTCAAAGTGATATCAGAATATGCACTTTTTCAGATGAGAGAGTCTAATGAAAAAAAAGTTGAAGCTGAAGCTGCTTTAACACTGTCAGCTTTTTAACAACAGCTTCGGGCAGCTTACCTTTGTCCACTAATGAGAGGCCACAGAAATTTAAAATAAAACAATATTAGATGAACTGAAAAATTGGAAAGCAAAGCTAACAAAATATGGTAAGGCATTGCTTCTTAAAAGTTGTGCCAAACTTTGATGATGCACAAAAAAGTAGACACATTCTCTTGCATAGCAGTAAAGGCACAAGTTTAAAAAAAAAAATTACTCATGCGAATCATGCACATTTGAACTCTCCAAAGATGCAGCATTCTTAAAACCTTTTCTGTTATATTTGGTGTACACAGAGTAGTACCTTTTAACCAAGTTAACATATATTGATATTTTTACACTTCCATTTTCCCAGCATGCTTGTCAAAAAACACTTTCTTACCAAGCTCTTCAAGCTCTGAGGTCATGGACTTAGACCGCAAGGTCAGTGCAGTGGTTGGAGCTCGCTTAGGAGGTGGTGGGGCTTTGCAGGAAACAGAAGGATATAAAATACAAGTAAACATACATCTCAAATGCTATTTATTTGCATACACAATTTCATATTTGGTCAAAAGATTATGTCGCGCTAAATAAAGTAATATTAAACACATACATACAGAGGAAAAAACTCTCAGATGCTTTTCATGTATTTCTGCACCATTCTACTTTTAGCGTAGGCTGTTTGACACATCAGTAAGCTTTTATGTAACAGGATACATAGAAACATTTAAAACTACATAATTCCACACTTCAGTTTTTCACTAGGAGGAAGATCTCCACAGTAGTTATGCCCCTCCTTCTAAGACGTGTACACAGCTAAAAATCTCTTGGAGAGCAGCTAAGTCTCTGCCAGATTAATTTTATCTTTGAAGAAACTTTGCCTGCTGTTAAATCTGAGAAATATAAGGGAGAAGATGATATAAATGATCCAAATGATCTGAATAGTCACAGTAAGACTTAGGAAAACAGGTAACCTGCAGAATATAGAGTGCTTAAAGTTGATCTTAAAATATCAAGGCAATCATCTAGCACTGAACCTAAAATCCAGTATGTCTCTTGGGTATCCTGATATCCAGTGTTTCCTGCTAGCTTTGCAGATGGCCAAGCCAGGCAAAACATTACTGGAGGCAACATTTCTGGAGGCAGAAATGCGAGTAATACCGGGAAAGAATCTGCCACTAATCTGTCATTAAGCCAAGGCTGGTAGGAAAACAAGGTTTCTGTGAAGCAGAAGTTGCTGGGACACTAAGAAAAAAATTAATGATTCTGAAACATTTTGGTCAATAATATATAATCAGATTACACCATCTGGAAAACACTTTGGCAAACCAATTTCAGGACAAGAAAGGAAAGAAATAGACACCATTTTCTCTTAGCAACTCTACCCGCTCAGTCAGCATCCTTGTCTCTGTTGGGCTCCATCACCTGCTTACAGAGGCTTCAACGCACGTCAGGAGAAGGCAGAAAAGTAACTCGGGCTCAGTGCCAGGTACAGAGACCTGTACAGAGGTCCCATATTTATTAACTCTAGTTTGAACTCTGTCCTTGCCCGGGGAGGGAGGTGACAAGACACTGTACAAACCAGTATTTATTGGCACGGCTACATGACACTTGCCACCTCCAGAAAGGAGACCGGTGGCCACAACATCCCTCCTTTACATAAAGCCAGGATGACATGTACCAAACAGCTGAGGCGAAAGGTTTTGCCTGTGCAAATTCTTATAACGCTATCAACCTGAAAATAATGCCTTGCATTCAGACAATTCCTTCCCCAAGTCTTTGCTGGATGTGACGGGACGTGGAGCTTCCTCACGGTAGTGGCCTTCTTACCAGAGGCCACATGGCAGGAAAAAGCTGCACCTTTTTTCTGCCAACAGCAAGAGGAGGGGATTTTCCCTCACCGGACTGAAAAGAGAGGATTTGTTCCAATATACAGTAGTTTGCCCACTGAAATGCATTGTTTTTCTACTAGAATTTTACATATTTTGGATTTTTTTTTCTTACTTTTACAGCCATTCTTTCTAATACATTTGTTTTTCAGTTTTTTAATTTCTCAGTGAGTTCAAGAGGAGTCAAACAAAGCAATCCTTCTTGGATGGAAATCCCATCCTCCTGCATATAATTTTCATTAATAAAAGAATTTTTTTTTTTAAATGGTTTTTCTTCCTACCACAAGACACTCAGGTCAAAAATTTTGGGTATAAGAACTTCAAATATCACTGCCTAAAGATCCACAAAGATGAAATTCAATAGCAAACACAATAGGGGAATGCTGCACTTCTTGTCACACGTTGATGTCTAAGTCAACAGAGCTAAGTTACTTTAAACTAAATAGCAAAAGAGTATTGCAAATTTGAAAAGGTAAATGTGTAAATCTTAAGTTATAAGCCAGAAACTTATTATCTATACCCTGCTTTCTGTGGAGCAACACTAAAATGGAAAAGAATTAGGAAAAGAGAAAAAAAAATACCTTTCTTTCTAGCTGTGTCATCTGGATCAAGATTCCTGGTTACTGTGACAACCTTAAGGACGAGGTGGTTGCCCCCTTGCCGGATCATGTTCACCACCTGCCTGTGTCCGACTTTCACCACATTCTCATTATTAACCTGCAAAGAAAGAAAAGATTCTTTCAGCTCAAAATTCTTAAAAAATTCTAGTCTTTCAGTTCTAAAAGCAGAAGTCAGAAAGAACAGGAAGCTGTGGAATTTCTGATTACTGCTTTTTAAAATTATTTGTTTATTTTTTAATTATTTAATTCTTTTTTAATAAAAATGTGTTTTTAAGAAGCAGCAGAGAGCTGAAACATTAACAGGAAAAGCTAGCTCTCCATGATATATATATATATATATATATTATTTCTTTATAGTTGCTAGTTTTTAAAAAAATTGAATGGGTTCAACCAAGTCTTTTCCTTTACATATTATTTATTTCCTATGATGAGTACACTAGTATTCTATAATTCACAAAGTAAAACTGCATTCTTAAATTAAGGTCATTATTCACCGCTGCACTCTTCACAAATGTTAAAATAAATCCTTTTCTTTAATATAACTGATAAGATATTTAGAAGCTTCCCTTTCCACCCCTCAACCATCCAGGAACTAGCACTTTCACTCCCGAGGCATTATTTTATTCCATGCATTCCTCCCCTTGTTTCCCAGCATTTCCATTCTGCATGTTTCTAGACTGCAGTCCAGGAAAGTCTTTAGGGAAAAAGATGAGTTAACGTGAAACCATGACCAGCTGCTATGATTATATCAATGTTTACTTATGTAGCACTAAACTTTAAAATGCATGTTCTCCTCGGTGATTTCCTGTGTTGCCTCATCATTTCTGCATATGCCGCTTTCTATAATATTAATTCATAGCCATAAATTAAAGTGATATTAATAAAACAAATAACAAGGTAGATAACATTTATTTATTCACTAAGTAAGGAGATAACAGAAAGTTATTTGAAATCTAATCAATAGCTGTATGAAAAATTATCTTGCCGTATGCATTATTTGAATATAAAATATATTAAAGAATTGGAATCAGTGGGGACGAGACTGCCAGATTACATGTTGGGAATTTGATCCTTGTCCAGAATTCAAGTTCTGATTCAGTTATCTTGCATGGAGATCACTCTGCCTTCCAAAATGAACAGTCATTTTCAAAGCAAGTGTTTTTACCCTCCTCTATTTATTCTGACAAGCACAGCATCTCACACTCGAAAGAATTTACAGTTTACAGCAAAGTCTCTCATTAAATATTACTGCTATTTAGCAAAACAAAAAGCAGAAGGAGATTCCAACTTGAAATCGTGTTTTCCTCCACTGCATCGCTGGAAAATCTTGACTTTTTCCGGGCTTTAGATGAGACAAGATGCATTATGGTGAAATTACTTCTCGGTAAGCCATGTTTTCGATACACCACTGCTGCAAAATGTTTCAAAGCACCATCCATGTGCTATGTCTGCAAGTCTGAGTTGCCTTTTAAGAGGCTTTTTTAGTTTCACATAAAATTATGTAGGTGTAACACATTAACACATGCTGAACACTCAGACCTGTTCAACAGGCAAATATGAAGCTCTTCCATTGTGGAGGTGGAAGATAAAATGAATTGTTGGTTTGAATAGGACTCCTGATATTTTATTTTGCATCTTGTTTGTGCCTTGTACTTAATTCCAAGATATGATATTTATTTAGCTGAGCTAATGTACGTTTAATGTGGCTAAAACATTTTAGCAAAGAGCATTACTATTTTAATTCTTAAATATCTGCCAATGTTAAAGCCTCAGCAAGGTAACACATTTCCACAGGTGTTGGGGCCCGCTCCCTCGCATCACACAGGGAAAAAGGTGTTTGAGTAAAAACTACTGACTTGATCTACTATATTTTTACTGAAATTAAAATTTAAGGTTTGAAGTCAGTATGGTTTAGAATACATTCCCTTTCCAAAAAATAAATGTAGACTTACAAATTAATCAAGAGTTAATATTAATCAAACACACGTACACTTTACTAAAGTGATAAATGTATAAAATGATAAACAGCTTTGCAGCATACCATCTGTTCTCATAGTTATGTGCAATGATGATATTTAACATTTAGAGCAAGAGCAAATATATATGACACATTTTTTAAAACCTCTCTGAAAGAGAACCTCTAATTGACTGTTCATAGCTGGTTTGTTTAAAAGGCACAGTTACAAAGCTGGTACCAAAAAGATTTCTATCACAAAAATAAAAAAATATTGATAAGAGATCTGAAGAGTATTTGATTTAAGGAGTTCACAGAAATATTTGCTAGCAAAAAGATCATGAAATCAGCAAAGCAGGACCTCATCTTTGCCCTTCTTAGTACCTCAGTGGGTAAAACTTCAGCATGATAGTAAAGAAATGGTGACAACAGAAGCGTCACCAGCTTTCAAGGAAACAGGATTTCAGTGACAGACTCTGTATCTCCCTTAGCCTTCCTTCCATCTTTTATACCTACACCAAATGGCTGCAGAACTGGGCTTAAATACTATCATACTGGAGCTCTTGCAGCTTCGCCTGATAGTTTTAGTCTGACATCATTGTGCAACATATTTTCAGGTATGAAAAATGTGGCAATACTGGGTCTGTGTCTCCCCTTTGAGCCTCGGCGGTGGAGAGTTGACTACCACACCTCATTTAGGCTTTGTCAGCACGCTCAGGAAGGTAAATTTTTATAATCAGCCAAAGACCTATTTCACCTGTATCAAATCCTTCAACAACAGCACGTGTATGGTATTGAATGTGATCACACTCTTAGAAATACTATAAAAATTATTTGGTTTTACTTGTTAAGTGTTTAGAAAGATGTTCCATAAAGAGTTAAGGTAGCAAAGCCAGTCTTAAGGCACTAATTTCTCTCTCTCTCTCTCTCTCTCTCTCTCTCTCTCTCTCTCTCTCTGCTTTAATAGCTCAGTCTCTGCGTGTTTTCCATGACATGTCCCTGCAAAACCTCCTTTCCTTCCACACTTCCCCAAAACTTGCCTTCATAGAAGTTTTCCCTCATCTTTCAAAAAGAGGCAAGAATTTAGAAATAGATTAGATAGATGTCTCTATGTGCTTAAAAATAATTTGAAATGGAATCAGAGCTCTTTCAAGCAGAATTTATTTTGGAGGGCATGCATAAAATGTCTAGGGTTAAGAACATTTTTATATATATTAGGACTTGTCACCTCTATGTCTCAGCATTTTTTTTCCACCTTGTATTCTCAAGAGAACACAGGGATGCCCTCATGGCCCCAGAGCCCTGCGATCACAGCAGATGTCCTCTGCTCTCTCCAGCAACCTGTTGAGCATTGAAAGCAGTTCAGCACTGTGCAGCCTGCATTCTACATCCCCCACAGGCTGGGCTTGTGGCTTCTTCAAACTCCAGAAGGGAGTTTTAATACTGTGTGGGAGAACGTGCCTCCTTCACAAAAAGCTTTGAGCAACAGGGATAGAGAGTTCTCTCCCCAGCATGGGTCTTCCTCAAGACATAATGAAAAATGGTGGAATAAACCAGGGTCAAAGACAACTGACCATCATAAATTCCAGTATCTTCAATGTCCAAATCCACCATGTTGACTTTATGTTATTGAGAACTAATGCACAGCAGTATGTGAAACCCATAAACCCAATAAAAAGACTTGAGAATTCAAGTATAGAAAATTATGTGAAAATAGAGTGTCTTCTAAGAAGAAATCATCAAGCAATTTATCTTTTTTTCTGCATGAATCATCTCCCACATGCGAAATTCCTATGTACCAACCATGATACATGACCACCCATGACATCCTTAACTCTACAGATTTCTCCTGAACTTTATGAAAAAAAGACGCTCCTGTTTGGGTAAATCTACAGTCTTGCTAACATAGCAGACAAGTGAACAGGACTGATAAGAGCCAGTTGAATGACAACAGCCTAGGAAAGGGAAGTAGTTTGGCAAAGGAAGGGATGCAGACAGAGCAAAGCTGGAAGACAGTAGTAGCTAAAGCAAGATGACTGGTAAGAGCACAGAGGTGAGGAAGCCTCCAGATAACAATGAAGAAAGCCCAGATAATCTGCTAAGAAAGAAAGGGCTTAAATAGGATGAAGGAAGAGAGAGTAGCACAGTTAGATACACACTGGTGTAATGAGAGAGTTGTTCATGAGAGGTATAGGAAACCATAAATTGGTTACTTCATTTTTAATCATCGTATTCCCACACCACTAAATGACAACTATACAGCCTGCAGGGCAGTAGAGTACTTAGCTTAGAATCAAGATTACAGATAAAATTACCTTGACGTTTGTTCAGGGTTTTCCTGAAGCTTGGGCATACATGTGCCCACGCAAAAGAACCACATACTTCCACAGCTCCAATAAACCAAAACAGGGCGTTATTTCTCACAAAACATGACTCCACAGGTAAGCTACAGCTGGATCTCCATTTTTTGCCACATCCCAGCCCTGTGTAATATTTCCTTGTAAACAGACTCTTCACAGTTTACACATATGGCATAATTAGCACAGGAAAGAACAAATGCAGTTATTTTAAAATGTGGATTTTCTGGAAAACAAGGCTTTAAAGGGTCTGCTACAGAGGCAGGCATTGATTTTATGGATACCAGGCTGGGCTACACAGAAGGGCTTGGTTCTGGAATATATAAGAATGCAATGGGTTGTAAGATAAAGTAAGATAACCTGCACATTGTAGGATAGCAGATGCATGAGCTGGAACATATTCACCATAGCAGCCTTCCCGTAGGAAGGTGCAAAAGAAAAAAACACTATCAGGGAAAAAGACCTTTGCAGATTTTGTTCTATTAATAAAAAGGACAGAATCTTAATTTCTTCAATGCATCATGCAGCAGCCTAATCCCTTCCATTATCTAAACGTTCTCTCAGTGAAAAGCGGAGCTAATAATTTTGAACAGCAATTAAACAGACAAAACTCAGTTGCTTTGCTCATGATGGCCATTGCACGAGTGCAGCGGTGAATATGTTCACCTTGCAGCTGCAAATACACATTTTCTCAGAAAAAGCTTCTCAGAAGCTCTTCCCTTCCTTCAGACTAACTGAAACCCCCCCAAACCCATTACACATGCTTACAAACCTCTGCCTACACAC